TACTTTTTGGACAATTTCAATAGCTATTGAAACCTTAAATGTATAAAATTTGACTAGCTATTAGAACTCTAGGAAATTATCCCAAATGAATACTCACATAAATGAGCTAATTTACAAAGAGGTCACTCACCTCAGAATTATTTGTGTGGGAGGCACCTTTTAGGAGTTCTATGCAGCTTAATAAGACTCTACCCTCAATTTTTCTAGAACTCATTCCTACTAAAAGGATGCAGGCTCCAACAATGTTTATCATGGAAATCTAACCCCTTACTCCCAACTGAGTGGACCAGGCATGGACAGCTGATCTAAGCACTGCAAGAGTGTACCATTCATTCATCCAGGGATCTCTACCAGGAATTAGAACTGAGGTTCAGAGACTACCATGTGGCTGAAATGTGTAGCTCAGATGCATTCTATACCACGAGGATGAAAATGTCAACTGGGGGGAATAAAAGAGGGGAGTGAAGGAAAGAAAGATAGATAAAGCAAATTTGTGGGGAGAGAGCGAGAACACTTCATAAGTTCTGATAGTTTATATGTCCCATTTCCAGTCATTTCCTAAGACTCTTAACCCTGGGTTCTATGATGCTTCCTCTACTTCCTTTTTTCCTTTGTTTAAGCTAGTTTGAGTTAATTTGTTATATGCTACCAAAAAATATTACCTAATATAGTTGGCAATAAGGGTGAGAAAAAAGATACCACCCTAATTGTCTAACAAATAAAGCGCTGTCAAAAAGGAAAGTAGTATCAGAAAAGGGTAGAGGAGTAAAGCTGAATTTCGATGCGCAGGAAGGGGTAGACACACTCAGAATAGAGGAGAGATAATGAGATTTTTAAAAAGTTAACTATAAACGAGAGAATAAAATCACTGAAATTAACAGAAATGAAAATGATACCAGAGAAAAATAGATCTGACTAATGGAATTAAGAGCCAGAAAACTGGAGAAACTGAACTATGAGTGGGAATGTGACCGTTATTAAAGCTATTCACCAAATACTCTGTATACCTTTCTAACTTTTAGGATACCACACATTCCTACCCTCCTAAGGTTAAGCACAGTCACATGACTTGTTTTTGCCAATGAAATATGAGCAAAGGCTTCTTGCCTCACTTCCAACTAGAAGCTTTTAAAGAACCAAGGCTCATCCTCTACTTTGCCTTGCCATTGCTCAGTGACGGTATAAACACAGGCGATGAAACCTTGGTCAACCTAGGTGCTTAGATACAATATCTAGAGTGGCCCTGCTGACCTGCTTTGGCCACACAGCCCAAGCAAGAGATAACCAGAGATGTGTTAAGCCACTGAGACTTGGCAGTTGTTTATTGCCACAGCATGACCTAGTCTAATCTGAATGACGTAAGAAGCAAGAGATGGAGAATCACATGAGTTAATGAGATAAATAGATTCTGAATAGAAATAAAACACTGCAGTTATGAAGTATAGATAATAAAACACATCTATTACAAGCAAAAGCAAGATCTCAAAAATTACTCTCCTCTATCACCTAAATAAAAATTGGAAAAATTCTTCATAGGCAGCTAAGTCAATAAATATTTATTAATTTTGCTATTCCTGATAGCACTACTTAGTTTCAGATGAAATTTAAAATATTATTACATGTTCTTCCTAAGCACTCTAATATTATGCCAATATCTAATAAAGACAAAACAGACGTTTAAACACCCTGACCACAGCAATAATTTAGAGCAGTGGTCCCCAACCTGTTTGGCACCAGGGTCTGGTGCTCCTATGAGAATATAATGCCTGATGATCTGAGGTGGAGCTGAGGTGGTGATGCTAGCACTGGGGAGCAGCTGCAAATACAGATGAAGCTTTGCTTGCTCACCTGCCACTCACCTTCTGCTGTGCAGCCTGGTTCCTAACAGGCCATGACTGATACTGATCCACGGCCCAGGGGTTGGAGATCCTTGATTTATATGACAGAAAATAGGGTTTAGCCGCCAATGTTTATCTCTGTTACTTATATTAAGATATAATATCAGAAAAAGAAAAACTGAAGGAGAGAGCAAAGGCAGATTTTAGCTTAGGAATTTGTGCTTAAATGATCTTTGTGACAAGTGATACACTTCACACGTAAGCATCTTTCGCAGATTAAAAAAATTATGAAAATTTATAATTTTAGTTGGTAAATAACTTTCATCTATTCGATTACATCTATTCAATTAGCAAAGCATCTGTTTAGTACCTGTCCTGCACAAGATGTTCTACAAAGTGCTATAAGACAAACAAGAGTCTAACACATTCTTCCTAACTGCCCTCAACGTGGGCTAAAGAATAAAACAAGCACACACAGATTTATAAACAAAAATGGAGCACCAGAAGAAACCCACAAAGTATCAAGAAGGATAAGGAGAGTTCACAACTACAATAAGTAGCCAAAGAAGCTGCTTTATGAATCTGATGCTTCCCTTTTTCATTATATTTCATTTTTAATGTTTTATTACCAAAGCTATTATAATACTAAGCAAATATTTCAAAGTATATAACAACACTGCATAATTAAACCTACAGACAAAATAATGTCAAATTATATCATTGCTTGAGACTAGAACACTATCTTTTAAAATATATTTTTCTAAATACTACCTCTGTATTTCAGAAATCTAAGACCCAACTAAAAGCTTCCAACTCCTTCTCTCTGTTAAAAAAATTTTGTGGTTCCTATTTGCATAATAAAATTAATAATATTGCTGCTGATTGTGGTCAACATTTGAACACTTATTAAGTGCTAAGCACTGTCCTAAGTGTTTCACACATATTAGTGCAATCAATCCTGACAAGCACTCTATGAGATAGGTGCCATAGCACTATCCCAATTTTACAGCTAAGACATTTAAGGCACAGAGAAGGTAAATAACTTACCAAGATCACACAGATAGTAAGTAGAATTACTATTCTGCAGTTTGACTCTAGAACATAGGCTTTTAGTCATTACAACACATTACTATGCTACTTATTTATCCAGTGAAGACATTTATTTCAGGAGTCCCCAACTACCAGGCCACGGACCGGTATCGGAACCAGGCCACACAGCAGGAGGTAAGTGGTGAGCCAGCAAGCAAAGCTCCCTCTGTATTTGCAGCCACTCCCCAGCGCTAGCATCACCGCCTCCACTCCACCTCAGAACATCAGGCATTAGATTCTCATAGGAGCACCAGTCCCTGATGCCAAAAAGGTTGGGGACTGCTGATTTATTTAACATAGCCTAATACAGTTTAAGTGTCTTTGTAAGAAATTTTTAATATAATTTCAAGTATATGTCAGTATAAGACTGAGCCATTTCATTTTGATGAAATGGTTGTTTTGCGTTCCTTGGCCAGTTTCAATTCAGTAAGTATATACAGAGTACATTAAGTATTCCAGGCACTACTTAGGATAAGAAAATGAACAGACATGGTTCCTGTCCTGCCCAAGCTTATGATATAATGAGAGACACATATCAACCACTAACTAAAATAACATAGGGTTTGCAAACAGATAGAAATATGAGCAAGAAACTACCAAAAAAATTGATTTTTACTGCACTGGAGAAAAAAATCAAGGATGGTTTCAGTAGAGTCAGGGGCTTCCAATCAAGATGGCAGAGTAGGAAAACAATGTGCTTGCCTCCTCACAATCTCATCAAAATTACAACTAAACTACAGAACAGTTATCTTTGGGAGTTCCTTGAATTCTAGCTGAACAGAAGTCCTACAACTGGGAACACACAGAAGAGGGCACCTCGAGACTGGTAGGAAAAGCCTTGAAGACTTGGAGTGGGCTGGTCCCACACCCATATGTGGAGGTTAAGAAAAGGGAGAGAGATCTCGGCTGAGGACATTCCCTCTGGAGTAGCAAGGGGCCCCAGCCCCACACTGGGCTCCCCAGCCCAGGATTTAAGTGCCAGGAAGAGAAGTCCCCACAACTTCTGGCTGTGAAAATCAGCGAAGATTATGGCTGAGATAGAGGGTGGCTTGAGTCACAGACATTCCTCTTAAGAGGCCCACACAGACTTACTCACTGATGGACTCACTGGCTCTGAGCTCTAGCACTGGAGCAGCCGCACAAAAGGTACAGGAGATAAAAAGGGAGGAAATGGCTTCAAGGTGAGGGCTAGAGTGGCAGCTTTCTCCCAGACATAAGTACTAGCAGAAACCATTATTCTTTTGTTGTCCCCCCCACCCCAACCCGGCATGCAGACACAGGTGGCCATCGTACCTGAGTCTCCACCAACGTGGTCTTGGTGATTCCCAAGACCCAGCCTCACCCAACTTGCAGGCCCACTCAAGCCATTTCCAATGGCTTTTCCATACAAATAGCCTGTCTTGGCTCATGCCGTGGACTTTCTCCAAAACTCAAATGTTGCAAAACCCAAACAAGCATCATCTAGCGTCCACATGCCCTGTACCTCTTGTTAGGCAGCCCTAAGCCCAGCACTAGTGGCAGCAATCTCGGTTCGCAGCCTGGCCTCTTAAAGCACCTTCAAGCGCAGTGAGGGTAGCAGCCATCTGCAGATTGCTTGGTGATGTTTGCCAGGTGACCCTGGGGAAGGGCACGGGCTAAGGCTAAACTTGGTCTGCAGCAGGACCCCTCCCAGGAAACACCAGGGCTGGCCCACCTAGTGGCTGCCTTTGCAATGACCTGGAGAACCATTCAAGGCTGCATCTAAAAATGATACACCCAAAGGGCAGACTGGGCAGGAACCAGAGCCCTGCTAAAGCGAATCCTACTTGGAGGAATCAGCCCCTCACTGGCCAGCCCTCACAACCTTACAGCCTGAGGATCAGTCCCTCCCACTGAAGTACAAACAGCAACCAAGACTCAACTACAACAGGAGGGCATGCACAACTTATACAATGGTCACACGTGGAGCACGCAGTTCAGGTGACTAGAAAAGACCGTGCCAGTGGGCCCCACAGGACATCTACTACATAAGGCCACTCTACTGAGACCATGAGACATAAGAGCCCTATCTAATACACAGAAACAGACACAGAGAGGCGGCCAAAACAGGAAGACAAATAAACATGTCCCAAATGAAAGGACAGGACAAAGCTCCAGAAAAAGAACAAAACAAAATGAAGACAAGGAATCTACCAGATGCAGAGTTCAAAACACTGGTTATAAGGATGCTCAATGAACTCAGGGGAAGAGTAGCTGAACTCAGTGAAAACTTTAACAAGGAGACAGAAAACATAAAAACAGAAACTTAGAAAACATAAAAAAATAACTAGTCAGAAATAAAGAATACAACAACTAAAATAAAGACTACATTAGAGGGAATCAACCGCAGATTAGATGAAGCAGAGGATCAAATCAGTGATTTAGAAGATAAGGTAGCAGAAAACAATCAGAATAGCAACAAGAAAAAATACAAAAATATGAGGATAGTTTAAGGGGCCTCTGGGACAACATCAAGTGTACCAACATTCACGTCATGGGGGTACCAGAAAGAAAAGAGAGACTGAAAGGGACTGAAAACCTATTTGAAGAAATATGACAGCAAACTTCCCTATCTGAAGGAAATAGATATATAAGCCCACTAAGCACAGAGAACCCCAAACAAGATGAATCTAAAGAGGCCCACACCAAGACACATCATAATTAAAATGCCAAAGATTAAAGATAAAGAAAGAATCTTAAAAGCAGTTAGTTACCTAAAAGGAAGCTCCCATAAAACTGATTTCTCAATAGAAACTTTGTAGGCCAAAAAGGGATTGGCACGAAATATGCAAAGTAAATGACAAGCAAAGACCTACAAACAAGATCACTCTACCCAGCAAAGCTATCATTTAAACTCAAAGGACAGATAAAGAGCTTTCCAGGGAAGAAAAAACTAAAGGAGTGCCTCGACACCACACCAGTATTATAAGAAATGTCAGAGGGACTTCTTTAAGAATAAAAAAGATGAAAAAGATGAATAATAAAATAGTAATAACTGCATATCTAAGAATGATTGCTTTAAATGTAAATAGACTAAATGCTCCAATCAAAAGATAGGGTAGTTGAATGGATAAGAAAACAAGATCTTCATATATGCTGCCTATAAGAGACTCACTTAAGATTGAAAGACACACACAGGCTGAAAGGGATGGAAAAGGATATTTTATGAAAATGGAAAAAAAAAATGTTATAGTAGCAGTACTTATCCCAGACAAAACGGACTTTAAAACAAAGGCTATAACAAGTGACAAAGAAGGACCCAGTTATCCCACTTCTGAGCATTTATCCAAACAAACGCAAAACACTACTTTGAAGGGATAGTGCATCTGTATGTTCATTGAAGCATTATTTACAATAGCCAAGACATAGAGGCACCATGGGTGTCTATCAATAGATGAATGGATAAAGAGGTGGTCTATATATACAATGGAGTATCACGTAGCCATTAAAAAAAAAAAATGAAATCTTGCCATCTTCAACAACTTGGATGGTCCTAGAGGGTATTGTGCTAGTGGAATAAGTCAGGCAGAGAAAGACAAATAGTGTATGATTTCACTTACATGTGAAATCTAAAGAACAAAATAAACAAGAAACAAACTCATAGATACAGAGAACATTTTGATGGTGGTCAGACAAGAGGGTGGGTGAAAAGGGGGAAGAGATTAAGAAGTACAAATTGGTAGTTACAAAATAGTCCTGGGGATGTAAAGCACAGCATAAGGAATATAGTCAGTGATATTGTAATAAGTATGTAATGATGTCAGATGGGTACTAGATTTATCAGGGTGCTCACTTTGTAAGTTATATAAACATCTAATCATCATGCCGTACACTGAAACTAATATTGTATGCCAACTGTCATTGAACAATAAAATTTATTAAAAAAAGGAAGGTACTCTCAAAAATGGTCCTTGAAAGCTGCAAGAAATGACTGTCAAGGAATAGAGGAAACAAGCATTCCTCACTGGAGGGACAGAAGAGTGTTTGGTTATTAGTCACATTCTGCAAGTCCAGAAATGATAATTAAATGATATAACTGGAAACTAGGTGTGTGCAAACATGTAATGACAAATAATTACTAAAATTAATTGTCAGGTCATTTCAATATTATGCAGAAGAGACAAACCATTCTAAGTTTGTGCAAAGACCCAACCTGTGTTTTAAGATAACTCTAGCACAGACCAAAGGCTGGATTAGCAAAGTATGACACAAGAAATCAGAGGTAGACAGCAAAAATGTTGATATAATAACCTAAGTGAGGGTTTATAAGGGACTCTGTGATATAGCTTTGAGGACATAAATGAAGGGGTAGACACAAAAGGTAAATTAGAAACAGAATTAAAGGAGATAGCAAATGTCAGAAAAGCTAAAATACCACTAATATAAAAACGTATAAAGAGTATTTGTAAGGAGATAAAAATAAGTTTTGTTTTCAAAATGCTAAGTTTGAAGTGTCAACTGGACATCCACACAGAGAGATGATTACTAGTTTGAAATGCATAAAGACAGAGTCAAAAAAAACCTAATATTTTATAAAAACACAGACATTGTTTCAAATTTGTAATTAAATTAAAACATCCCTTAGTTTGGGAGGATGGCAGAGATACTGTTTAACCTTACTTTGTTACACGTTAATAAAACACAAATGGAACATATAAATTCTAAACTGTAAGAGGAAAAGGGGGACAGGAATAAAAGAAGCACTAATTCAATAGGAGGAGGAAAGGAAAGTAATGAAAAAGCACAGGAAATGAAAATTAGAAGTCAATCCAAATAATATAAGAATATACATAAAGGCTACAAATAAAGATATGGAAGAAGATATGTGAGGCAAAGAGCAAGTGGCCATGTAAACAAGCAAAAGGAATTTAAGAAAAAAGCATTTATAAAGGACGTAATATAATGATAAATGAACCCAATAAGGAGATATGATAATCATATACCTATATACCTGTATGTACTTAACATTAGCCTTTAAATAAAACAAAAATCAAAAGAGTTTGAAGGAGAAAGTAAAGCTCATGAGATTTAAAAATACTTTAATAACTAGATGACATAGATAAAAAATTAGTTAAGATATAGATAATTTGAATAGCACAATAACCAAAAAATTGGCCTAACCGAAAAATTTCTGAACTCCTATAAATAATAGCTCTTTTCTTTCATATGTAGAATATGTAGAATACTCACCAAAAAATGATCACATATTAGACAAACACAAAGAAAGACTTTACAATTCCAAAGAATCAATATCGAACAGACCACAATGTTTACTAAGGTTAGAAATCAAGTTATAATTTTATTCAAAGATTTTCTTTACTTTTCTAATACCTTAATTTTAGTGATCTAAAGAAATATAATTACCTTGTGAGCATCAGATTTTCCAATTTCATCCAGATCCAAAAACATGTCTAAATCACACCCTAATTTCCCAAAACCGTTCACCGAAGAACCAAAGGGTCTGACTGCACAGTCCGGAAAATAGGCAGCTGCTACGTCTTCAATAAGAGAACAGGTGAGATATCGGAGCCTGGTGTTCTCATCTGTTAGCTGGAATTCCTTCAACAGAATGTTCAGCTGATCATCTATCTAGCTGGCCAAAGCAAAAACAACAAAATATAGAAAATGTACAGGTCATATAAAATAACTGTCATTTTACTTCCAGAGATTTAATGGTTGTGGAGACCTACCTTAAAAATATGCAATCTTTTTTTCTTCAGCCTTAAAAGTAGATTTTTTAAAAATACCTTTTAAAAAGCACTGAGGGATGATGACAATAGCAAAATAAAAGTTGGCCGGAAATAAAACTACGAATTTTCTTAGGCAATGAGTATCAAGTATTGTTGTAGGAAAATGAATATAGTAAAATTCTCAAGAAAAGGAGGGCAAAATAATCATTTTTAAAGAAGCTGGGGGACATTAAAGACTAATGTTAAAGAAACACTAGAAATAAGCAATGCTTCAAGTAATGAAGGCCCAAGATCTGTTCCTTAGAATAACAATCCAAATATTATATATACTTAGAAGACTGATGCTCAAATGATCATGTTTTGAAGATGTACACTTGAGTTAAATATTTAAAATATAAATCATAGCCTTAAATGCCCAGGTTTGAAAATAATATTGAAAATAACTGAACTAAGCATTCAACCCAAGAAAAAGAAAAAGAAAATAAAAGGTGAGAAGTAAAATTTAAAAATTAGAAAATCAAACCAAAAAATAGTATTCTGATAAATAAAATCATGAATTGATTCTTTGAAAGGACAACTAAACTAGCTAAACCTTTGACAAGTCTAAGTAAGAAAAACACAAAATATAAACATTAGAGTAGGAAAAAAAAGAGATAAAACCAGAAATAAGGTATTTTAAAATTTGAGAACAATGCCATATACAAATTATGTCATTATGTTGACAAAAGCAAGCCTGACTAGTTTAAAAGCCCAAAACTTTGGAAAAATGCGGTTACTTCTGAGGAGTCCGAATGGAGTGTGAGGGCAGGGAGTAGGGAAGGATTACTTTCACATTTCAATATATTCTGTAGTCTGAATATTTAGTAAGCACATAAAAAATTCTGTCAAACACATACATATTTTTAAAAGTTGGGGTAGTATACCTATAAACTTACACTTTCTGCATCACAAAGTAATTTAAAAAGCTTCTTGTTTGGAGGTGGCGAGTGATTACTAAATGGTATATGTGATTGTTCAGAAATCTGGTTTGATGGATTCTTCAACTTTAAACTGAAGAAACGTGATCTGAATGGAATTGCAGCCTCTGTTCCCATGCTCGGAGTACGAGTTACATTCTGCAGAGAAGCTACACTTTCCTTCTGACAAAATTCTACAACGGCATAAAGACCCTACACCAAAAACATTAAAAAAACACATTTCAAAATGATATATTTAACACTGTTCATATTTCAAAGCAATTATCATAACATGAAACTATTAATTTTTAAAATTTACAAATGATATGCTTCTTACACAAGCATTGGTTTTAATCATTATAAGCAAATTAAGAAAAAGAATCTATGGCCATGCTACCCTGAACATGCCCGATCCCATCTGATCTAAGAAGCTAAGCAGAGTCGGGCCTGGTTAGTACTTGGATGAGACACCACCTAGGAAGATCAGGTGCTGTAGGCATAAAAAAAAAAAAAAGAAAAAGAAAAAGAACATTATAAAGGGATAATAGTTAAGAGAAGCTGAAAAGAATGTTGAAACAGAATATAAAAGGGCAAAACAAAGATCCCGACCCTCTGGCCTTTATCTTTAAGATAATGGGACTATCTGAAGTGTTCAAATTATGGAATCCTTCAGTTACAAATAACTTATAATTCTGTAATAGTCCTGTAAAGATTTTTAGTCTCATATCCAAAAAACAAACCTCATTAAAGAAATTTCTATAAAGAAAGATGTAGGATAGCAAAAGAGAATCTAATATTACCATTTGTAGAGGCAAGAAATGACAATAAAAAAGAATAAATTATACTATTTTTCAAATACTTACAATGCTTTCATAGAAGAAATGATTACTAATTGGTCCATGTTGGGATAAATATTTGAGAAACTTTTTTTCACTGATTTTATTTGGGCAATGTATTAAAACAGTCCGCTGTGCCTGTTCTCGTCTTTCTTTTTGCACCTCAGAGAATCTCTTGAGAGTCCTGTCTTCAGAGCCTATGAATGAGACAAAATCATTTCAAGCTTGCGTGCACGTGCACACACGCATAAAATTTAAAGCATATTTTGATAAGGTATATAAGAATTTTATATCTAACTAAAACAAACTTTATCCTAATCTCCTCTTCTTTTATAAGGGTGAAGCTATACTACTTCCAATTTTCATTTTACCGTTCCTTTGCAACTATCATTAAAACTGTCCACTTTCTCTTTGATTTGGTATATTCGATGCATAGTGCTAAAAAGAGAGAGTCTCACAAAATTTTAAAACCAAAACCAGACAGGCCACTCATTTGACATTTCCACAGATACACATATACAAACTGAGTAAGTTGTAATATTCCAAAGCCTAAAAGAAATTATTGTAAGCCTGAATATAATGAGACAATGAGTTTAGAAGTTTAATTTAGTAGAATAAGTTATTATAGTTTTTCTTTGTCCAGGATCTTGATCAGGCTCAAATAATTAACAATGATTTATCAACAATCATGTGCTCAGTATCACAAGGAAATTAAAGAATTTAAAACCTAGTTGTTGCTTACAAAGAACTCATGATAATTTTACTAATGAAGTAAAGGGTAATTTTGATCTTTCCACAAAGGAAAAATAAACAAGTGAACCAAGTATAAGGAGAAAAGAAAATCATTCAAGTTCTAAGGCATAATTAAAGCCAAACACTAAGTCTTAGGAACTCATTTTTTCCCCCAAGATATCAAACTTCTAGTTGGGTAGCTTAAAAGTGCTTCTCCTAAAAGTCTGGAATAGTAGATTCTAGAGATTATAAACCATCACATCTGGTATCAAAACTGTCAACAAAATTCCAAAGAGATTAAATAGAAAATTAACTAATGCATGGAAATCAACAGAAGTTTTTACCCCCATTTTTTTTTTAAAAGGTTATAAAACTGATGGATAAATGAAACAGCACAAACACACAATACCTTGATTTCAGCAAACTCCAAGACATCCTTATACACAAGACAGAGGGTTGATGACATATGAGCTGGTTGAACTCTAACCTCTGCTCACTAGCATCAACCTAGGGACAAGTCTCTAATGGCATACCAAAGACTTTGGGCACTGACTTACTAACAACTAATCAAACACATAGTATTGAGTATCTTTCCTACACTCACTGTACTAGATGCTAAAAATGCATCTCTTAAATGTGTCCTCATCTCTATTCTGGATGCCAATTCTTTAACATCAACCTCTCATTTCAGGCATCCCTCTAATAATACCCAACCATTAAGTTTGGAACTTATCTTTCCAGACATTTTCCAGGCATTTATAAACATATACATTTGTATCTCTCCATATAAACATTTTTTTACACAATTGAAATTAGTAAAATTATACTCTACATTCTATTATGTAATATACTCTGAAAAATTTAATACATTGAAGTTATCTTTCCACATCAGTAGATATTTAACTTTTTAAAATAACTGTGTAAGTATTCTTGTATATTTAAGATAGTTTACCAATCCTCTACTGAAAAATATTTAAGTGCTTTACCTTTTTTCTCTCTTATAAACAATACTGCAATGTCGTCTGTATATAATGTCTTTGCACTTTTATGTGAAATTTTATATATATATATATACATATATATTTATATTTATTAAAACAAATGTTTTTAAAAAGCCAAATTCAAGGGGTAACAGCACTTCTTTACTATTTAGTAGTCGGGCTACATATGGAGTATATCTCTACAGCTGGATTACTAGGAAGAGCAAGGACTGAATATGAGACTGAGATAGAGAAGTTTGATAAAAGATGGAGCAATGTGCTGGAGAAAATGGGATAGGCAGAATCAAAAGCATTAATGGCTCTGGCCTTGAACATTAAGAAAGAATGATGCAGACGTGACAAAGTTGTGAAGGAGGGGTCAAAATGTTCACGTAGTTTATCATCTCACAAAAGGCTTATTAAATTTAGAAATGATAAAGTTGCGAGGAAAAACTAATAGGTGCTAATATGTTATGACAGATTGAAATTTGCAAGTCTTGATAATATAATCTGGTAAGCACAAAATAACACACAAAAAATAAGACTAAATAATATTTTGCATTTAGAATTAAAAACAACATAAAAAACACAAGCACATAATGGGGAAAAAATTTAACCTAAAAGTAGTTGTATAAAAGAAGCCCAAAAGTCTGATTGATAAAGCTCAAAAGTCAAAGGAATGTCTTAACTTCTGAAGTGAAGATAGGGAGAATAAATATAAATATATATGTATATATATATATACATAAAATTTCAACTTTATTAAAACAAATGTTTTTAAAAAGCCAAATTCAAGGGGTAACAGCACTTCTTTACTATTTAGTAGTCGGGCTACATATGGAGTATATGTTCTGCTCTAGCCATAATGGATGTGAAGGATATTAATGAACCACAGAGCATCCAGATTGAAGTACTAAAATGTCTAGAAACTCTGATAGAGAATTACTGTACATAAACTGGGATTTACAGCCTGGGAAAAAACTAATGAGAACCTGAACGCTGTCCTCAGATAAAGACTCTTCTACTTGTGCAGCACCTAACAGGTTTCCA